AAGTGTGGCAATCACATGACACATACCCCGAAGTCATGCAGAAGCCGGACCAAACTGGAAAAGCTGCTCTGAAAAGAAGCAGTAAAAAACAGCTACTTTTCAGAGTGCCATCCAGGACTGCAGCAACAAGGCAGATTAGGGTTGCATACGTTTGCCGTGGCTCTTGGGGAGCCCCAATCCACTCTTTTTGGGCGGTCTGTTTCGCCCCTAGGTCTCTCCTCATAAGGCATGGTTTGCAGACCATTCACCATTTTGGTCACCCTCCTCTGGACACGCACCATTTCTCTAGTGATAGAATAATGCCATTAGAATATTGGTAAAATGCTGTTTCCAACAACAGCTATATTAGTGAAGGTAAAGATTTCATGTCCTTTTTGCAAAATATTTATCGGAGATGATCACAAACTCCTTCAGAGAGAGTTGTCCATCTTAGCAACAGAAGGCTAAAGGAACAAAGCTTAGGACTAAGTCCACCAATCTGAACTAATGTTCCTTTGATATATGTACTTCCTGATATGCCCTTGCCCTTACTAGGATGTTCCATGTAGTTTTCTTTTCTGGCGAGACTTTGCTCAAACTTGCTAGTTTCTTTCTTCCACCTGAGCTGCTGTCGAACAAAGTCAAGAAGTCTCCATGGTGTTCAGCACTGAAGAAAAACAAAATCACAGTATTGATCAGGGCCCTTGGAGGATTGTAAACATTGTTCTGCTTTTTTCATTTCCAAAAGACATTCAACTGCTTTGCAAGAGGCTAACCTAGGGGCTGTAAAAACAGCCCCTAAGGGGCGGAGTCCCGCTGCCCTTTTCCTTGCCAGATTGGGGCTGCGGCAACCGCACGCCACAGCCCCGATCCAGCACTTTGCTGCTCTAAAAAGAGCTGGCAAATGCCACTCCTTTTTGGAGCAGCAAAAAGCCACCCTTGCCATGGCGGCAGCAGCTTTTCTGCACTCCTTTGGTGCAGTGTATCTGAATGCTGCGCCAAGGGAGTGCCCTGACGCCACCCACCGTGCAGTGGGGCACACAGTGTGATGGTGGCATCAGGGCGGCTGGCATGTGGATGCCACGCCCTGACTCCACCCTCAGGCTGGTCCTTTTGGCTGATCTGTATCCCCCCTTATTCACTCCTATAAACAGCTTCCAAGTTTTCTGCTCAACCTAGAGGAAGCCCTCTAGAAGCAAAACAGCCCCATTTCCCCAATATGCTCTGAAAGGTAAACATATAGAAGCTTCATTATTAATCAGGTTCTGAGAGATCCTATGCACTAATCTTCAGAAAGATTTCTTTGAGGCTCACCTTAAAGTACCATTCACCTGCTGGTTAACCTGAGTTGTGCTGTTGGATCTTCGCAAATTGTTCATTGCTCTGGAGGAGCCAAATCCTGCATCTTCCTAAGAGAAAAAAAGACACAGAGCAACAATGCTGAGTTGGCTGTAACAGGATGCCTTTTAAAGAGTTTTCTAAGGCATGAATATCAAAAGCACCTCATCTACATCCAGCTTAACAGAAAGAAGCTAGTGTAGCACTGGCAGATGATAGGATAGCAATGACTCTGGAAGGGTTGAAAGGTGATTTTGGCAGTGCTCCTTGTTAGCTTGCTTTTGCTTTTTAAATGTTATATAATTTATAATAAAAATTAATATTTATATATATTTAAAGTCTGTTTCCAAGTTCTAAAGTTGACCATAGAATTATGTTGGTGGACCTACAAATGCCTAGAGAAGCATTCTCTCTAGGAATTTCTAGGTTCTCCCAGTGCAACTTCTGGTAAAAGTTGGCCACAGAGTCATGCGGGAGGAACTAAAAATTCATAGGGAGAACACATTAATGAAATCCGCAAATAATCTGCAAAGTCAAAGCTCCAAATGTGGAGGGGCAATTGTAGTTAAAGAAAACATATCTACCAGGAACATGCGGGAAATCATAATAAAGCTCAGGTGAAAACAACTGTTTTATTCACAGTACTTACTAGGATATTCCGTTTGGGCTTGTTCTCTGTAATGACAGAAATGGAGCGAGCAATGTGCTTGCCTGGAGAAGCACTGCTGGGACGCTGAAGCACTTGCATAGGTAGTCCTGTTAGACTGAGATCCACACCATTGACACTAGTGCCTTGGAAGGAAGAGCTGCTGCCACGGGCACTCTTCATTGTGAACTAGGGAAGGGGGGAAAGCCCTGGAAACAAAGGGAAACAGAAATAAATAAATAATGCAATGAATAAAATGGTCTCACACAGTGGTTTATTCCATGTCTCAAAACATTACTATTAGTAGACATTCTAGCATAAGTAACTAGGGTCTTCATCAGATTTCTAAGAAGCCTAACTTCCTTTTTCTAAAACAAAAATAAAAAAAAAATCTAGTCCTCAGGGTTACAAAGAGAAGCATGAAAAATGAAAGTCAGTAACCAATGTCACTGGGAACCTAAAAGCTCTAAAGAGAATCCCTCAAAGGCCGTTTATAAATTTCATCCATGTCCATTTACTTCAGGCCCCGTTATCTTTCCCAAGAGAAATATTTCCATCCTTTACAGTTCATTTATTTTGAATTTAATCAAATTTTTACTAAATTAGTGTGAGAAGACTATTTCATATGGCTATATTCTGACAAAGTTGTTTAGTTTCCTTTCAGTAATTAATATGAACCGCTAATCAGATAAAATGACCATAATTTAATTTCCATCTTGTCCTCTGAATGCAGAGCAAGTTAGGTGAAATTACAGTCGCCTCTCCATTCTTGCGGACTTCACGTCTGTAGTTTTATATATTCACTGAGGGGTGACCTCCGTTTAAAACAATGGTGTACACTCCCGAGGGCATGCACCCCGTTCAAGCCTATAGAGCTTGAATATTCACTAACCTCTGTTTTTGCGGGGGGGGGGGGGGGGAGGGCAGAACAGATCCCCTGCAAAAACAGAGGGCCAACTGTATTTCTATACCTCATGAATGGCAAAGAGCAATTTAGGACACATGGGTCAATGTGGCATAGTGGTTTGACTATGATTCTGGAGACCAGGGCTTGAATTCCTGCTCAGCCATGGAAACCTACTGGGTGATCTTGGGCAAGTCACATTTTCTCAGCATCAGAGAAAGGCAAAGCCAAGCACTCTCTGAATAAATCTTGCCAAGAAAACCCCATGATAGATTTGCCTTAGGGTTGCTGTAAGTCCAAAATGACTTGAAGGCACACAACAACAGTGTAGAACACAGAAAATGCTCTTAACGAATTCAGCTATTCTGTGGGGTGTCTTAGGTCCAAAAGACACTGCAGAAATAATCCAGTTTGAGGCCACGTTAACTGCCCTGGCTCAAAGCTAGGGAATCTTGGGAACTGTAGTTTTTGTGAGACATTTTATCCTTCTCTGTCAGAGATAGCTCTGGTGTCACAATAAACTACAATTCCCAGGATTCCCTAGCTCTGAGCCAGGTCAGTTAAAGCAGTCTCAAACTGGATTGTTTCTGCAGTGTGTTTTGGACCTTAGTTTTCTAAAATGCAATAGGCTTCCAGCTCTGTTTAAAGATTTGCTTGACTTGTCTTTTAGACCAGAAACTGCTCATCCACACATACACTTCCGTAGAAACAATCTGAACTGCAAATTCGTTGGCCCAGGAAAATCAACAAGGAGCTCTCTATGGCAACCACAGACGCTTATCCAGCAATGGGCCAACTCATAGTTATCAGAAAACCAGACCACTGGGATTCAAGGGAGCAGCTCTAACGGGATGAAAACTACAGAACTATAGGCTGAATTTGCATTCTTTAAACAAAAGGACAACATATAAAAAAGGCCCTTCTTCTAGATTTAAGACATAAAGCATATTTTGTGAAATTGCAAATGCAGTAATGACAACTGTCTCTTCTGAACTACCTTGATCCCCTCACTGGAGATGAACTTTAGAGCTGTTTAAAGTCTGTTTCCAACAAATGTTTATCATGGAACTATTTGCCACTATGCTGACTCCTTTACTTCAACATTTATCTTTTTTGTGAGAAAGATTGCTTTAATATGGGGGGATGTTTTCAAACACCTTGTATTTTAAATGCCCCTGAAGCACTCTGAAAAGGTACAGCCTTTAAACAGCTCTAAAGTTTAGCCTAATAGAGACCACACAAGAAACATGCACACTTAAATTCTCTCTGAGAAAATAATTATTTTTACAAGTCAAATTAATTCTGTCTCAATTTTTTCTTGTGCAGGCACATTAATAGGCTATCTCATGCAAATCAACAGGTATACAGTTTCATATTTAATATAATTCTGCATTTATTAATCTGTGCCTTCAAAGTCAAACACTTCTCCTCGAGCCCTAACCTCTGACTACAGTTTACAGATCAGCTACCGTAAGAAATAGCAAAAGGACTGTTCCAGAGGCTGACCAGATTTCAGGTGTCTTGTTTTAACTTGCAGCAAAACACAGATATAATGTTCCAGTAATGCCACATCTTTGCATTACTGTTATTTCAACTTAAGACCACATTTCACACATCCTGGAGCAAAAATAGCAACTGTAATGAAAACATATATTGAGCTCAGCATTAAGTGAGGCCGTGTCCTTTAAACATGGGAATGTAACTCCCCCCAAGCCTGTAGATACGGATATTAAGAACCACCGGAAGACTTCACCTATTACAGGAGTAAAATGTTCTCCACAGAGAATGAAATTTCTAATGATATACATGTATTGAGCCCGCGTGGAGGAGTGGTTTGAGTTTAGGGCTCGGACTCTGGAGACAGGGCTGATTCCTGGCTCAGCCACGGAAACCCACTGGGTGACTTTGGATGAGTCATACACTCTCAGCTCCCTGTTGAAAGGGTCACCATAAATCTGAAATTACTTGAAGACACACAACAACATCAACACTCACACTCCTGTATACATGCATCAGAAGGGCTAACAAATAGCTTCACCCAACTGAACAGGAGGAGTTTTCACATCCCAACCAGCTCTACAGCAGTTTCCCAACAACACACCAGAGATACAGGTATAATAGAAACTTTTTAGGGGCCAGTGTGATGTAGTGGTTTGAGTGTCGGACTACGACCCTGGAGACCAGGGTTCAATCCCTGTTCGGCCATGAAACCTTCTGGGTTACCTTGAACAAGTCACACTCTTTCAACCTTAGGAGAAGAGAATAGCAAACTCCCTCTGAACAAATCTTGCCAAGAAAACCCCATGATACCGTAGGTTCCCCCTTAGGGTAACCATAAGATGAAAAGACTTGAAGGCACACAACACTTACAGAAGCTCATTATCCTTTCCAGCATGTTGAAAAGGGCAAGAGAGCAGGTTTTTTTGTTTAAACCAGGTTACAATGGCAAGGTAATTCGAGCGAGGGCTGATTCTAACTTAATTTTTCTTCTCCCTGCCCTTGTCCCTCATTAACACAAGGCTACCAGCCATTTTCTAATAGGAGCGAAGAGGGAGCCAACAGCTTGGAGTTCCTTAACAACCAACTCCTGGGGCAGCAGGGCTCTGGCACAGCCTCAGCTGTTTACACGATGGTGTTAGACCTACAAAAGGACTTCACAAAAGAATGAAGATTTGCAAAAAGGCAGGGAGGCAGCCTGAGAAACCTGCAGGGCCCTCTTTCTATCAGAGTCACTGAAAATACACAAGGGGTGCGAAGCAGAGGGGAGCCAGTGTGGCACAGCATTGGACTGTGACTCTGGAGGCCAGGGTTCGAATCCTGGCTGGGGCATGGAAACCCACTGGGTGCCCTTGGAGGAGTCACACTCTCTCAGCCCCAGAAGACCCCACCAGAGGCTCCCTTTCGAGGGGGGAGCATAAGTAAGAAATAAGGCACACACCCCCCCGCATAAGCCCGAGGGGGCTTACGCAGGGGAGGGCCAGGCCTGTCCTCCTTTCCCCGGACACGTCCTCCATTTTCAGCCTCCTCTTCAGGAGGGTTTCCAAAAGATCCTCCATTCTGAGTACCGACTTAACATTCACATGTATGGGAGTGTTTTGAGCTTTTTCTTTGGCCATGCTCCTCCATATATATGTGTGTGTGTGTGCATGTATATATGCGTATATATGTGTATATATACATAAACACACACACACTCTCTCTTAGGTGTCCTCCATTTTGGGGTGGTGATGAGGAGCTGCCTGTCTCACGCTCCTTCCTTGGTCACTTACCTCTGAGGGGTGTCCAAAGGGGGAGCCCACTTACGGCTCCTGAACTGAGGAGGGTTTTCCCCCCCAGAGACCTCCCCTCCCCTCCCCTCTCCTCAAGGCCTGGGCTGGGAGGCCTCCCCTGGGGCCGGCAGAGGGCCTTCTCTCGACCCACAACCGAAATGGCTTCCAAATGGGGGCTGCCTCTAGCTTCGAGCGGCGGCGGCGGCCTTCTTCCCTCATTCAGCATCGCCCTCCCCTCAATGCTCCCTCCCTCCTTCCGCTGGGCAGCCGCCCAAAGCACTATGGGAAACTCCCTCCTCCTCCTCCTCCTCAACAAAGAGGGAAAAGAGTAGCAGCAACCAGCTCACCGCCCTCGCCCCTCATTGGCCAGAGGCTTTGAAGCCAGGCGTCTCCTTACGGGCTGAGCCCCCTTGTCCATCTGCGTTCGAGGCGCATGCGTCGACTCGAAAGTGGGAAGAGGCGCGCTCACGAGCGGAAATCCAAAGCACGCGCCGCGGGAAATAATCTACAGTTTAAGGCCGCTTTAACTGCCCTGCCCCGATGCTAGGGCAGGGGTAGGCCACCTTTCCCCTTTAAGGGCCGAGGGACTTCAGCTCCCAGAATCCCAGGAGCTATTGGCCAACATGGGACTATTGGCCAACATGGCTGAGGCTTCTGGGAGCTGAAGTCCCTCGGCCCTTAAAGGGGAAAAAGGTTGCCTACCCCTGTGCTAGGGAATCCTAGGAACTGTGGTTTTTGTGAGACATTGAGCCTTCTCTGTCAGAAAGATCTGATGCCGCAATCAACTACAATTCCCAGGATTCCCTAGCTAGCCCTGAGGGCAGTGGAAACGGTCTCGAAGTGGATTATTTCTGCAGTGTGGATTGTTAACCGTTGTGAGCTGCCTTTGAGTTGGCTTCGACCCATGGCGACTCTATGGATGAGGCTACACTAATTTTAACCTTTGGATTCTGTGACTGAGAGGCCTCCAAATCCCCCTGCCTTCAGCTCAGGTCTTTTAGACTCAAGGCCCTGTGGCTTCTCTGGCTGAGTCCATCTCTGGAATGTGATCTTCCTCTATTTATTTACCAAGTATCATTGTCTTCTCAAGATATGGCCAAAATAAGACAACCTCAGTTTAGTCATCTAAGGGGAGTTCAGGCTTGGTTTGCTCTAGGGCCCACATTGATCTTTTTGGCCATCCATGGTATCTGTAGTGTAGGGATGAAATAATGGAAAAGAAACTACAAAGCTCATGGCTAATTCGGGGCTGGATTGGATGACCCTTGGGGTCTCATATTCCATGTTTTTAAAAAGTGCATTTGCAAAGCAATTGTAAAAGGCTTCTAGTTTGGCTTCGTTGGGAAAGATAACAAGGAATGTTGTTTTACGACCTTGAAGACAGGCAGACCGTTTCACAGCCAAAGAGATAACGTATGAACTGGGAGTAAAAGTAAGAAAACTGAGATGCCAGGGTAGTTTGCGCGTGGCAAGTAGAAGTGTAACGTAATCAGGAAAGGAGGGGTTTGGAATTGTAGCTTGTAACCAATGAAAATGTTGAACTATGCATGTGTTAATATAATTATAAACTAGCTGTGTAAGATGGTATATAAGGATGTTGATTAGACGAGGGAGGGGCTCTCAAGTCACAGGGCTGAGCTGTCTGAGGGCCCGTCAATGTAAAATAAACTCTACTTTCCTGGATAGTCCAAGGGTCTCCGTTCCTGTTTTTTATCCACTACAATAGGACTCTTCTCCAGCACCACATTTCATATGAGATGATTTTCTTCCCATTAGCTTTCTTCACTGCCCGGTTCTCACATCTTGCATACAAATGGGAAATATGATGGCATGGGCAACCCTGACTTTGGTATTTAATGGCATATATCTTTACACTCCAGGATCTTCTCTAGTTCCTTCATAGCTGTCCTTCCAAATCCCAGTCATCCTCTGATTTAGCTAGTTGATTTTAATTATTGGTGTTATTTTTAAGTTATAAAATATTTTAAACAACTTTATCTGTGAGCTGCCCTAGATCCCTTTCTGGGAGAAAGATGGCATAGAAATTAAAATAAATAAATAAATAAATAAATATAATGGGAGCTATCAATCATTATTAACAGAACTGGCCTTCACTGAAATCAGTGCAAGGTAAGTTGCAAATACCTACACACTGAACTGCTCCAGTCCTATGGCTTTTCCATATACTTCCATATATTTCTGGAAATGAACAGTTGGACAAACCATGAGTAGAACTACTTTTCCAAACAGCTGTAATAACAGATGTACACTCCTAAACTCAGCCAGTGCTTTCTTTTCTTTCTTTTTTGATGGTTCTTGTACCTTCTTGGGCCCCAGTCTTGGCAATCATAATCCTGTTTCCAGACATGCTGGACATAAAAGTTGTGGAGAATACTTTGGGTAGCCTAATTATGCAGTAGCCAGTTATCCACTAGCTGCCAGTCCAGGAGGAGTCTAACTGAGGCTGCTGTCACACTGCACAATTAATGTAGTTTGATACCTCTTTAACTTTCGTGGCTCCATCCCATTGGATCATGGGATTTGTAGTTTGTTGTGGCACCAGAGGTCTCTGACAGAGAAGGCTAAAGGCTAAAGGTCTCACAAAACTAAATCCCAGAATTCCACAGCAGGGTAGTTAGTGGTGTCAGACCACTACCTTTGATGGTGGTGAGGTCTATCCTCAGTATCTATTGTGTTCAAAGCTCCTCAACAAACATCAGCCACATGTCCAGAAAAGTAGCCAGGGACTCTTCTAATTGTTTTTGTTTTCCTTTGGTTGATCATCAAGTACCTCCTGAGAACACAAAAGCTCTTCTGGCTCATTGTTGCTCCCAACTGGGAGCACTATGAAAGTGGATCCCCAAGTTTCTTCAGGACTTCGTGTTGCTCATGTTATACTCCTATCAGGAGTCATAGGTCAGTCAATGCACGCCTTCAGCTCAGTGATTTTAAGAGGCTTCCACACTTTATCTTGTTCCACATCCTGAATACACACTATGTTTCTCAATTTGTTTTATGGATTGTGTGTTAAATCATGCTTTGTGTGTCAAAGATTTGTAGCGCTGTTTGTCTGCTTGCATCCTTCTTTGGCCTGGGAGAGGGTGGTGGTGGTCTCAAATGATGCCTTTGGCTACTCTACAGTTAATTATTTGTGGTTATTTGCACCAGGACCCCCCCCCCCCTATTGTTACCCATTATGATATCAGTATCTCTTTCCTGGACAGGATCAAGTGTAGGTGAGCACCTTTGAATGGCTTGGAAAGTTTACTTTGCATCTATTCTCACCAAATTATTTGCATCATGTTTTAACTATGAAGTGATAAAGGACATTACCTTGGAATACACTGCATTGTTTGGGAGTGGAGAAAAGAACCTCAAATGGCAAAATGCTATATATTTGTCGTGACAGCTATTTATCCTTTAGGTCACTAACATGTCCCGTTTAGAGGATGAGAGTTAAATTTACTTTACCCTTGGGTATGACCAGTATCCCTGCACTATCTCTTCACAGCCGGTTTTAACAACCGTTCACAACAAAAGTGGGAAATCTTTTTGAACTTTAGAAGTGGACTATTTTACATTTATTCTTGAGTCACATATCAATGTACATATTTTTATGCAATGTGCATTCAAATATAGGGAATAACACAATCTGAAGAGGAAAAAAACCTTTTAATTGACAGCCGCCACAGCTACATTAAACTGCTATGCAATGCTTAAAGGAGCAGTTCCTCTGTGAGGTCTCAGAACAAGTGGGAAGTGTCTGGGGGAGAGAAATCCTTAATCCACTCCATTTGGAGGACAGGACAGAGTGCTCTTTGTACTCTCAACAGGTCTAGCTCACTATCAAACTAGTGTGCATGCTCAGTTGTAGCTTGTAATCAGTTGCTTCTGTTACTATGTTGTACAGAACTGTAGCCCAATCCTTATGCAGGC